CTTGCGCCTTAGGTTGGTCTTGCACTGGATCATGTCCTTGGTGAGGAGCCATCCAAAGAACTTGACCCGGGGTGGGGCAAAGTTGCGCCAGACGAAGTTGAAGGAGGGGCAGGTTTGGTCACCGCGCATCGAGGCTCTGTAGATGAGGCCAGACCAGAGGCGGTGATCGGGGCCTTCGAAGCAGCAGTGCCGCACGTCGGAGTTGTTCGTAAGGTTGACGTCGAGATAGCTCCTCTAGCTCAGCGGCGGCCTGTGTAGAGAGACGGCGCTGGATTTCGTTCCTGATCCCAGCCCGCACGACGTCGCGGACTGATGTCGCGCTCCCGGCCATATGGCTATGCAGCGCCGGCCTGTGGTCCGCGAGGGGGGCGTCCAGAAGCCATGTGTCTCTTCAGAAGTCGGTGGAGCTGCCGTCACCGATCGAAACCGTCGTCATTCTCTGGTACGCCGGCAGCAGCTGGCGGAGCGCAGTCTAGTGAGCCCCACTGAGACTGCCGTTCAGGTCCAAGAGCGCGGTTTGGGACGCAGCCCAGCGCGCCCAGGTATAACTGTCCGGGTGGTGGAGGCGGTGCAGGAGCTTGAGGAGTAGGGCTGCATTCTGGGTCTCCAGGCGTTTGACGCCGAGGCCCCCGTCCTCCCGTAGCTCGCAAACCTTTTCCCAGGCGACGAGGCACCGGGCACCGGTAGCGCGGTCAGACCCAGACCACAGAAAGGCTCTGCGTTTGGCGTCAATGGCCGCGCAGACCCCGGGGGGAAGGAGCATGGCGCCCATGGCGTAGGTCGGCAGGCTGCTGAGGACGGAGTTGATGAGGACGACGCGGCCGGCTGGGCTCAGGAGGGATGCTTTCCAGCCGGCGAGGTACCGGTCCACCTTGGCTATGAGCGGCGCAAAGGCCGACAGTTGCAGCTTGGTGTTGGACAATGGCAGCTCGAGGTAGGTCTGCGGGAATGTCCCTTGTCGGCAGTGGAGCGCAGTCACCAGGTTTTGGAGTTGGTGCGATCATTTTAGATGTGGCAGTGCACCGGAAACAGAGGCTTGCGTCGAGGGTCTACGCCTGGCCACGCAATGGTGTCACTCTCTGATCATCATCAAATTGGATTGTTCACGTATCGTCGACACTATGAGAACTTCAGCAGCGAATAAATCGGAGATTAGATTTGTGATAGCTGAAGCAAGGGAACTTGCCCTGCTCCTAAGCGAGTGAAAATACTTCATGTAAAGAGAGATTGTAATTAAGTAGCAAATGCTTCAGCTGCTTTAGCTAGACGAAACAAACACTGCAGTTTGGTTGGGACAAGCACCTGTGTGTATCTAGGATTTCATAATAGCGATATTGTACTAGCAATCATATCTAGTTAATACAATACAACTTTCTCTTTTCTCGAAAAAAAGCATACAAACTGCAAAACTAGAGCACCTGCTATTTCTTGTTCAAAAGGAGTAGCCCAAATGGACACCAACTTTTGTTTTCGTGGTACAGTGACCTCTGATAGGGCCATCTCGATATATTCATCTCTGTACGTACGCCAAATATTGAAATTTGGGTATGAACTATGAAAGTAAAATTGAAATTCAGTACACACTGATAAGCAATCACAATCAATATATCCCATGCCTTGATATTACAAGCTACAAATAATGCAACGCCATCGATCTTCGCCCTGTTCGCTTGGTCGTAAACGATCGTAAATTTCCAGCTAGAACAGTATTTTTCTTTCATACCAAACTAGCCAGCACTAATAATCCACGATCGTATACGACCGTATCAGCACCAGCCAGGCTGCTTGTCAACTCTGCACAGTGAAGCTCTGGAGTAAACAAGCCAATCTTGTCACATAGTACAGCTTGTTAATCAAATGCCAAAGCAAGCCATGATTGTCCACGCCAAGCGTCATCAAGCTTTGTTTTTGCAGGAAACGAAATCTGCAAGGCTGCAGGAACAATTAATATCTGCTGGCTGCTGCATGGCTTTCGTTCCCTTGAGTGTACTGCTCCGTTTACTTGGCTGATAAGATATGGTTAAAAATACTGTTGACTAATTTGTTATAAAAGAAAAATACTATTTATTAACTAAAAAAAAATACGATTTATAAGTGAAACGACCAGGACGTTTGTCGGCTGACCGCATCATTGTTGGCAAGTGCAACACGCCCCTTTCGTCTTTTCGATCATTCCGTGTCAAAAAAAATCCGCTGCCTGTCCCATCTGCTGGCTGCTTTGAATCCACATGCAGCATACAACAACAATACGGTCATTTTCTACGTGTCTCATTTCCCTCGTGACATTTATCATATTTATAAGACTGGGGTGCAACGTTACGTGCCATGCCATTAGCCAATTATTTAAGGAGGAGAAGAGGTGGCGCTAAGTGCACTATTGGCTGGTTGGAGAAACAAAAAATCTTGATCAGCTTATACAAGAGGGGGCAGGGCCTAGTGACCCCACCAAGAAATTTCATTAGCTTCGAAAAGGCGCCTGCAACTTTGCTTTGTTTGTATTTTAGCGAGTAAAGTACGTGGCCGGTCTTTAAATTTGTAGATGTGTGCGGTCCCGGTCCCTAAATTTAGAGAACGTGTCATTCATGTCTTTAAACTTTTTAAGCTAACTATAAGCGAACGCTAGACCAGTTGGTCTAGCTGTGCGCTTTGCACCCTGCCGGCCAGAGTTCGAACCTCTCGGGGCGGATTTGTTAGTCGGAGGAGGCGCAGTTTATCTGCGCGTTAAAAAAAATCCCCTCGTCTGTCCCACGCCAAAGCACAGGTCTAAAGCCAGCCTAATCTCACAGGAGCTACGGTACCACTGTGTATGGGTAGGGCAAAGGTTCATGAATTTTTTCGACCTACGTGAGAATATCTTCTTCTTAAACACAATACCTGGGGTTATTTTACCCTCCGCGGGTCAAGTTTTTTTTTATAAGCTAACCATGAGAGATTGAGAGACAGGAGTGCTAGTTGGGCCGGACCAAACTACTTGGTTCCTTCTCTTTTTTTTTTAAGAACCTCACTCAAAAAGTATTCAATCTTTCTTTCAGGCTGTTCGGCTGGCTGGCTGGCTCTGTCACTCACGAAATCACTGTTCACGTCATGCCAGAACAGTATTTTTCTCTCACAACAATCAGCCGGAACAATATTTTTTAGTCCTGCCGTGTTTGTTTTAATTTTTTGTTTGGAAAGTTGAGGTAATGGTGTTGTCGTATACCCATGAGACAAAGGCAAACGGAGCCTCAAGGGTCAAGAAAGCAAAGGGGAACGCATGTGACGCTAACCACCTTTTGCCATACCACGGCCAATAGCCGTCGAAGACCAAATAGACAAACATCTATATATCTATCTACCCCTATAATACACCAGTTAGAATAAATCTATAGCCACACAACAAATACCTGCTCCACAGTCATGACCTATGCTACATCCACACCCATGAATGCACCCAGAAAATATAACACCATCAAAACGGATGCACCAGACTATCTCTTAGCTATTCTCTCTCATTACTTATTCAAATCCGACGGCTCATGTTTAGTGTGTCTATCCTCCATCGCCCTCCCACGCGTATGCGCTTGCAGGTTAGGCTTGACACACGCTTAAACGGCTCAAAAAGGAAGCTACCTCGTCACCCAATCATCTGATTTCGCCGCCCGCCCTTACTCCCTTGCCTTGGGAGTCTGTGAGGCCTTGCTCATGAGTCCTGAAGCGAGGAGGCGTCTTCTCCGCCCTCCTTCCCTCCACGGCATCCTCTCTTTCATCTACATCTGCTCTACCCACCACATGGGGGGCATGGAGGCTGTAGTCACCGCCCTTCCTCATCGTCACCGGCCGCGAGCCCCCTGCGGCGAGCGTCTGCCTGACGACAATGCTGAGCTCGGCTATGGCGGCGGCGTTGTTTGCGGCAGCGGTGCCATCGGCGCTCCTCCTTCCCGGAGATGTGATGGCGGCGCCTTGCTCCTCCGGATCCGACATGGCGCCCCCCCCCCTCTCGACCACAACATCGACTCCCTCCTCTGCTGGCTTTGGTGGGCTGGTGGCATCCATTCGTTTTGGGCGATGGAGTGCGTGGGGGCGACGCAAGATCTCGATGAAGATCTATTTCGGGGAAGCATTGTGGCGGGCTATTTCTGCAGATCGAGAGCTCAAGAACAAGTCCACGGATGGGCAGCCCGCCTCCTCGATTCGGCTCCGGCACCTTAATCCCGTCACGGCAGCAGCTTCGTCCCTTCTGTTGCTCATTGTGCGTGCGAGCTGCGAGTAGAGAGGAGTTTTTTGGATGTCGAGTCAAGAGGAGTTGAGTCTGGAAGAACAAGATTTGGTGCTAAGCGTGTTATCCCTGTAAGGCTATAAATCTTGAATTATCAGTGCGGTGATGCTTTTGGATCACTATTTGGAGTATGTCGGGAATCTTTTATATTCCAAGAAGTTCCAAGGTTTTGAATAATCAAATAGCACTAATGTGAAACAATGCTAGGTTACTTGCAAATGTGACACTTCCCACATTGAGTCTGTAATTTGATATATTGAAAGAGCATTGTTCTCGGCACAAAGGTTGGGATCAAAGTGCTTGAATGCTTGCTCTTTCTTCTGAATGGTATTATGCAGAAGTTTCAGATATTTGTTTGATCCCCTCAATTTAGGCATAACGAAAATGCTGTTTTTTTATCTAAAACTTATGCATAATATCATTCAGAAGAAAGAGCAAGCATTCAAGCACTTTGATCCCAACTTTTGTGCTGAGAACAATGCTCTTTTCAATATATCAAATTAGCTTTCGTACCTCATTTATGTGGGAAGTGTCACATTTGCAAGTAACCTAGCATTGTTTCACATTAACTGCTATTTGATTATTCAGAAACCTTGGAACTTCTTGGTTGCATATAAAAGATTGCTGACATACTCCAAATAGTGATCGCCAGTGGCATCACCGTGCAGGCCTACATAATTCAAGGATTTATAGCCTTAGAGATACTGCGATAACATAGTTAGCACCAAATCTTGTTCTTCTGTACTCAACTCCCTCTTGACTCAACATTAAAAAAAACTCCTTCTTGACTCTGCAGTTCGGCACGCACAATGAGCAACAGGAAGGGACGAAAGCGAAGCGCGCGGTCGTGACGGCGATTACCTCGGAGGTGCTGGAGCCGAACTGGAGGAGGCCGGGCTGCCCATCCGCGGACTTGTTCTTGAGCTCCTCGATCTTGCAGCGCTCCGCCTCGCGCTGCTTCTCCAGCCGCCGGATCTTCACCGCATCCTGCGCCATCCCCACGTACCCATCGCCCAAAACGAATGGATGCCACCAGCCCACCACCAGCAGAGGAGGGGAGTTGATGTCGTGGTCGAGAGGGGCGGGGGCGCCTATGTCGGAGCCGGGAGGAGAAGGGGCGTCGCCATCACATCTTGGGGAAGGAGGAGCGCCGATGGGCACCGTTGGCTTCGCAGACAACACCACCGCCATAGCCGAGCCCGCCGTCGCCTTCGCAGGGGGGGGCTCACGGCCGGTGATGATGAGGAAGGGCGGTGACTACAGCCTCCATGCCCCCCATGTGGTGGGTAGAGCAAATGTAGACGAAAGAGAGGACGTCGTGGAGGGGAAGGGAGGGCGAGAAGACGGCCTCCTGCTCGTGACTCGTGAGCAAGGCCTCGTTGTGACTCCGGCGTGCAAGGAGTAAGGGCGGGCGATGGAAATCTGCCAATGATTGGGTGACGAGGTAGCTTCCTTTTTGAGCCGTTTAAGCGTGTGTCAAGCCTGACCTACAGGCGCATGCGTGTGGGAGGTCCGCGGAAGGGCGATGGAGGACAGACACACTAAACATGAGCCGTCGGATTTGGATGAGTAATGAGAGAGAATGGCTAAGAGATAATCTGGTGCATCCGTTTTGATGTTGTTATATTTTCTAGGTGCATTCATGGGTGTGGATGTAGCATAGGTCATGACCGTGGAGCGGGCATTTGTTGTGTGGTTGTAGATTTATTCTAACTGGTGTATTATAATAGGGTAGAAGAGGTGTGTTTCATGGACCCTACGTCATACTAATGGCACAAGATAAATTATCATCGATGGTTGTTTGGTACATGACTTCCTTACAGTTGTTTGGTAGTTCTGGATGGTATTGTAGATGGGAGAAACGAAGAGAAAAAGGTGATTTTCACAAGGATGGTTCCATAGTTTAGATAGTATCACTTATCTATGGTCAGAGTGCTTAAAAACTTAAGTCTTCTGTACTTACCATTGTACACTAGACATTTTATTACATGGCAAAGCGACTTGAGGTTATCATGTATTACAAGTCCATGTACGCTAGGTTTTGAAGTCCTACAACAATTGTGTACGATGTATTCTAAATTCCTTTTTGATGGAATGTATGGCACCTTGTCTTTTGTCAAATATTTGAAAATTAAATAAACTATCAATGCGTTTGCCTTGACTACTGTTTCAACTAGAAAAAAAGATTTAAGGATTACTGCATCATGATCATATGCCTATCAGTGCACTATGGAAACATCTTAAGATTAACCCTGCATTTATTTCGATGCTTTATTGTGGTCCAAATGATAGTTGTATGATGTGTTGAGACACGGAACGTGGTTGGGTTGGTGAGAGTCAGATCGTAAATTAGATGGTTAATAATGCGAGAAATAATTTTATTATACCTTGTTATGCATAAGTGTTTTCTGGATTATATATATGATCATATACAATTATGTGAAAGTTGAACTTTAGAAAAAATATCGACGTTTGATTGTTTTTATTTACATTCCTAAAATGATACCGTGGAGTTAGCACAGACACTGTCCTAGTTTCCTCCTAGTCGGCTAGTCTCCTAGCACAGGGCATATCACATTTCCTGAACCGAAACGGGACCGGTACGTGACAAATGAGACGATCAATCAACAGCGAAGCCTGCCGGCAGACGTACACGCGCATCCAAGGCTCTCCAACCATAGCGACAGTAGGCGCGTGTTTACTTTTGTCCCATCAGTCTTAGGAATTTGGGTTGCGGTTCGGACATATTCGGCGGCAGTATTCAATTAATGTTTAGGCTCAAAACGTTCGAGGACGTAATTTTTCATCAAACTGTCGCAATTAGTTTTTTTCATCATATTTTATATGAGTTATGTTATAAAACTAATTACACATATGGAAATATTTAATGAGATGAATCTATTAAGACTTTTTTGAAAATTTGGGCAATTATTTACTGAACCCGCGCTAGGCAAAGAACTTCCGAGGCACCTACAGCCACCTCAGGTTGTCCCATCGGTCTCGGAGCATTTCTCCCGGTCCTATGGCCGGGCGCGCCCGTGCGGTTCGGACATTTTCGGCGGCAGTCTTCAGCTCTACGTACTCCCATGCCTGCGCTCTGGACCGGATCTGGTGCCCGCGCAGAGGACGCGGGGCGGGCATCACGCCGCGACTCGATCGCCGTCTGAGGCTCTCGGCTCGGCTCGGTTGATGCTATGGCCTACGGCGGCTGGCACGGCCACGTTTCCCACCGCGGCCGCGACAGTAACAAAACGCCCTCCTCGTTTCCATCAGAAAACTGCCCTGATTTTGACGCCACCCACGCGACGCACGGCACCGGCGCAGCGCCCGCATTATATAACCGTGCCCCACAGTTCACCTCTGCTCTGCAGCCACCATTGCGCGCCACGACGACCGACGACTCACCCATCCGCGTCCTCCTCAAAGAAACAGAGCGAGCCGGCCGAGAGTGTGACGTCGAGAGGAGGAAGGACCATGGGCGACATCACCGACGCCGCCGCCGACGCTTCGGGCTCGCCGCCGTGGACCAAGGAGACCAACCTCTTCATGCAAATCGTCGTCAACCCGGACGGCACGGTCACACGCCCCGAGGCCCCTCTCGTCCCGGCCTCCGAAGTCGCCGCCGCCGGCGTCATCTCCAGGGACGTGCCCCTCGACGCCTCCGCCGGCACGTACCTCCGCCTCTACCTTCCCTCCCCGTCCCCCGCAGCGCCGGCCGCCACCGCCAGCAAGCTCCCCGTCGTGCTCTACTTCCACGGCGGGGGCTTCGTGATCCTCTCCCCGGCCACCGTCTTCTACCACGGCCACTGCGAGGCGATGGCGACCGCGGTGCCCGCCATCGTGGCGTCCCTCGAGTACCGCCTGGCGCCGGAGCACCGCCTGCCCGCGGCGTACGAGGACGCGGCGGCGGCCGTGGCGTGGCTCCGCGACGGCGCCCCTGGGGACCCCTGGGTGGCCGCGCACGGGGACCTCTCCCGCTGCTTCCTCATGGGCAGCAGCTCGGGCGGCAACATGGCGTTCTTCGCGGCGCTCAGGACCGGGGGCCTCGACCTGGGACCCGCCACGGTGCGCGGCGTCCTGCTGCACCAGCCCTACTTCGGCGGCGTCGACCGGACGCCGTCGGAGGCCGGGTCCGTGGACGACGCCATGCTGCCGCTGGAGGCCAACGACAGGCTCTGGAGCCTCGCGCTGCCCCTGGGCGCCGACCGGGACCACGAGTTCTGCAACCCTGTCAAGGCCATGGCGCCCGAGGTCCTCGCCGGCCTGCCGCCGCGGTGCCTGGTCACTGGCAACTTGGACGACCCGCTCATCGACAGGCTGCGGGAGTTCGCTCGGTGGCTGCAGGACCGCGGCAGCGCGGAGGTCGTCGTGAAGGCGGACGTCGCCGGGTTCCACGCGTCGGAGCTGTTCGTGCCGGAGATCGCCGAGGTGCTGTTCGCCGCGATGCGCGAGTTCGTGTCCACCGGCGACGACGCTTGACACGTCGAATTCTCGTCCCGGTGACCAGAAGTGAACATGTGTTCTTGTTGCATCGGTGTGTGCGTCGTGTGACCGTGCGCAATAAGCCAAATAATTCTCGGCACTGTTGTAGTGTTGAATCTTGGCAACCTGGCACCATTCTGGTTCATGCGAGTGGGTTGGAGTGCAGTTGTTTACAAACAAATCGCTTTCATGGATCTTACTGGACAATTCATGTATGCTGGCCAAAGAACATGTCATTACTTCTGTCAACAAAGGTTTAATGCTTGATTATTGGCCTGTGTATTAGGTGGTTGAAGCGGTAGGTAACTCTGAAATTCTAGTACAGCCGTGCAGGACTGCAACCTGCAATCTGAACCCCCGAGTCCCAGATATTTTTTCGTGGAATTCTGTTACAAGGCCTTGTTTAGATTGGGGTTAGGAATCAGTATTTAGCACTGTAGCATTTTCGTTTGTATTTAATAATTATTATTCAATTATGGTCTAACTAGGCTCAAAAGATTCGTCTCGTAATTTACAATCAAACTGTATAATTAGTTATTTTTTTATCTACATTTAATACTCCATGCATATGTCCAAATATTTGATATGATGGAGAGAGAATGAAAAAACTTGCGATCTAAACGAGTCCCAAGTTCTGTAACCATGTCCATGTGCATGTTTTATTGTAGGAAAGCATTGCTACATGTACAACCAATTAAGTAAACTTTAGGGATTCAAAAGCTCAAAAAAGCATCGCCGTATGCTGGCCAAAGAACAACGGTAGGTGCCATCCATATATTGGGTTTACAACAAGCATAAAGTATGGTAAAACGGTTGTATTTGTCAACGTAAAAATGTCACTTCTATATATCAGATGCCTGATTTTTTTATTGTCGTTGAGAGCTTGAGGCAACATGCAATTTTGTCATTGTTTAGCTATAGAAAAAATATGAATTGTCCCTTTGTGAGTGGTATTTTAATTGTATTAGTTGATTATGTAGAACTGTTGTCTAAAAATTTCTAAAAATCCAGGCACTAAAATATAGCAACTCCCTAAAAATGTTCCTCCTTGAAAGTGAATGTGCTCTACATATAGCTACAGACTTGGTATTCACATTGATGTGTCAATTTTCTGATCCTTAGCAGAGAATATTAGGTCAGGGTTTTATGTCCCTCTTTCTAAGATTTTCAGGTGATTTCATCCCTTGAAACTTCTAGTCTTTCTCTTTATTTATACTATGCTATGTTAGCTTATTTAATGCCCATGAAACTTCCGTTAAGACCGACCCTACTCACTCCATCTCTAAATAAATCAATGCTTAGAGTTATCTTAAATCAATTTTTTTTTTTTTTACGTTTGCTTTAATTTATAGAAAAGAACACAACTATTTATGATACTAAATGGGTATATTATGAAAATATATTTTGATGTCATAAATCACGACGCCCTTTTCTATAAATTCAGTTAAATTTAAAAATGTCTGACTTAACAAGTTCAAGAATTGATTTATTCAGGAATGGAGTGAGCAAGGGATAATGACAGTTATAGTATCACACTCAAGACTGCACCATATTAAGCCACATTTGAGTGTTCGATGTTGAAATAGGGACATACTCCCTCTGTCCCAAAATAAAAGTCATTCTCACTTCTCGAGAAGTCAATTTTTTTTACTTTGACCAATTATATATAAAGATATATTAATATTTATAATACATAATTAGTATAATTAGATAGATCTTCAATATACGTTCGTAATAAACTTATTTGAAAATATAAATATTGCACGTATTTTTTAGAAACCTAGTTAAATTTAAAAAAAATTAATGTTCACACATCCGATAATGTCCTTCTTTCTGGGACGGACGGAGTATACTGTTGAGACATCGAGAGACATGAGGTACTCTAAATTATTGTTCAGGGCTCCTGATATCGATTGGTTGTCTAGCGCTGACCACTGAATTGTCTTGTTCTCGTTATTAATTGTTGTCCATCATATCTCTGCCTCTGCGGATGGACAAAGGTGCGACCGAGACAGCGGAAGATGAAGAAAAAGAAAAAGAAAAAGAAAGAAACCGTGACGGGCTTTGAACAAGAAAAAAAAGGAAACCGTGACGGGCTTTGAACAAGAAATGGGCTGATGAGTCCTCTTACTTCTGCTTGTGGTAGACTCGCGCAGTTGCTGTTTCAGCCCGGCCCAATAAGTTTCCAACAGGCCGTGCGCACAATATCGGGCTGAACTTAGCTGCTGTCGAACGAGTAGATTGGGCCGTTGGCATACTTGCAGATTGCAAAAGAAAAGTCCTTTCTACCTCTCAACTATCGTCGTGAACTCGTGATGTGATTTTTCTCATCAAATTGTAAAATCGAACATCTTACACTCTCAACTGTCAAAACCATTTAAATTATCTCCCTATCCTGGTTAGTAATAGTTTTCAAGGTAGTTTCATCCTTATTTTTAGTTTAAAAAATTCAGTAAATACACGATAAGGTTTCTAAACCATGAGGAAAGTGTAAAGGCTTCTAAGAATTCTGAAAACAAAATCCTAGAGATATATTTGGACACAGAAAACCAAAGTAAAATATTTAGAGCTAGTGAAAATATCTCTAGAAGCTTCTAAAAGTTATATCTAGCTCTAGGAAAATGAGAAAATATGCAAAACAAATTTGAAATTTCCCAAAAACATTCTAATCAATGTCCACATGTGTTTTAAAATTTTCTACAACAAAAATGAGAGGCAACCAACAAGAATGAAACATAATTTAATGTTGAATGCACTCATCTTACGCATTGATGCTGAGTAAATCTCATATTTTTGTTATCAAAAGTTTTCAAAATGTGTTTAGCCATCAATTAGAATGTTTTGGGAATTTTTCTTATTTTTCTGATATTATGCGCATTTTCCTTAGACTTTAGAGATGATTCCACGAGCTCTGAAAACTTTATTTGGGTTTGTTATGTCCCAATATAATCTCTAGGATTTTCCCATAACTATTAAAATTTTAAGACATTTCATGTGCTCTAAATATTTTATTAGGTACTTTATCAGAAAAACTTTAAAACTAGAAAACATAGAATCGCATTGAAAAAACCACTTCTAACTTGAACAACGTGGTGTTTAAATGTTTTGAGAGTTTAGAGGGTAAGATGCCTAAGTCTAGAGTTTGAGGAGGAAAATCAAAGTACGAAGATATTTCAAGGAGGTAAAACGAGCTTTTCCATTGAAAAATCGACCTATGTCCTCCTCATAACTATGTGTTTGGACATTTGACCTAACACAAAGTGTCCTCCGTAATAAGAAACATATTTTAGGGAGGTAAGCGGATCTTTTGGAAAGAGAAAGCTTTATTACAATCATTACAAATGAAACAGTAATAAGAAAATAGAAAATGGAGAAAGAAGAGGATATATATAGTATGGTCTAAGCAACATGGAATCTTAGACTCAGATACAAGTATACAACTCAAAACTAGCAATCAACATACTTTCCATATACACGGGCATTTTTTGAGTGGTTCCTTCTGTTATGTGGAAGTATGAATTATTTGATGATGTGATACAAGTAGCTTGTTTGCTCACTATATCTATATTTCTAAGAAGAAAGAAGTCTATTTTTTGGCAATTGAACTATTACCTGGATGCGATATTTGGACACCAAACTTCAAAACCATCATTGACAATCGAACTATTAAAACTGGGCAACTTTAGACATAAGGCTGGTTTGAAAGTTGGTTTTGCCTATGTTTTTTTTTCTTCAAAAAAGTAATAAATATATTATTAAATATCTAAAACAATAACTAATCATTTTAAATAAAAAATGAAATTGGTACTATTTTTTCTAAAAAGCTAGTCTATCTATTGGTGCTATATTTAGGTCTATTTGGATCTCATTCTTACTGATATTGTTACTCATGACCATTATTTATTCAATCATAGTTTTGCGCTATATTAGACTAGGAGATCAGCCCAAATGACCAAATGGATTCCGAGTACATGAAAGATCTCAAAAGGTGACACCAACCTTGTGGATGCCATGCTCCACCACATAAAGATCCTATTTAGGCACTGCATGGTAGGTGCGTTACTTTATTTTGATTACTTGACTAGGTAATAGGTTTCACATAAGGCATGGGCTCAAACGTCATGTAATGAACTGATCAAGCGATTGACATAGAGTACAATGAATAATGATACTTTAAATTAATAACGATCAAGGTTATGAGCAATAAAATATGTGCAATGGAACCCAATGAACTCTAAACAGAGTATTTCTAATAGACAAGTTATATTTTTACAAAAGAATGGCATCGGTTTCGTATTTTTTGATTTAAATAAATTAGTTATAATTTTTTAGAGACTTAACCATATTTCTATTTGAAGATACATACTACCTCGGTCCCTTAATATTTGTCATTGGAGGACTAAAGTCTTGTCTCCAAATAAATGTTGCCAAGAGCCTGTCTCCCCGTCCAACAGACAGTTTTATCCCTTTCTCCTCACACCGTAGACTTGTTCATTTAATAGTGCATCTGTGAAAGGATTGTTATACATAGAGGTGTATGAGTCTTTTGTAAACGTTCTTGGTAACTGAGTCCAAGGAGACAACGACTAATATAAAGGGGCGGAGGGAGTATGTAGAAAAAAATCACCTCCGAATCCAGTTGAGGACCAGAGTTGTTCGACTTTGATAGTTCAATGACCAAACGTATCCGGTTTGGAAGTTTGAAAAGCAAAATCGAACACCAGTCATAGTTTAATGGCAAAAAAAAAAAACAGGTCTTTTCCTTCTTTGTAAGAACAATGCGGAGAGGTTGAGGCCACATTTGGTTGGTTACCCTAACTTGCCGCAACGCGCCGCAACTTCCACGCCCAAGTCTCAACATGCATTTACTCTATTTTTCAGACTTGTGGCATGCCACAACTTAGTTCAATTTGTGCGCCAAAAGTTGCCGCAGTTGCGGCGGACGATTTGGTCGCCACTGGAGCGGCCACAACTACAATGAGCTTGTTTGCTGGTTG